CTTCGGCTGATGGGGGTCCTGAGGGGGGGTATCATGGCGCGTTAACGGCTCCGTCCCCGGCACAGGGGTGCGGGTGGGACGCGAGGTGGCTGCGGCAGGACAGTGGCAGAGGCACTGCCAGCCCCACAGCCACCCCTGTGCCTCCCAGGCCAACTGAGCCCACTGGGCTCATGCAATGCAGTCATTAGAGGTGTGACATTAAATAACTTGAGGAATCCTGAGGTGGGAGCCTGCTGGAGGGGCTGGAACACCCGTTGGTGCAATGGGAAAGTGCTGAATGGCTGCCGGGAACACTCCAAAGCTGAACCCCTGGTGCTGCACCCCCAGCCCCAACAGCCTGTGCTCCAGTCCCAGCCCCAGAGGAAACAAGATCACATGCGTAATAACCCGGTGTTTCATTCTGCTCATCCATCAAACCCTTCCTCCTTTTCCATCCCTACATCTAGGAATGGGAAGTGCTCGTACATGGAGAGCTCAAGAGCCAGCTGGGCAAGGATGAGCCCAGCCTCTTCCCACCCCCCTGGCCACCCAGAGCCATCACCCTCCCTCTTAACAAGGAAAACCAAGTTTTACAGATGAGGGCAGTGGGGAAAGCCCCTCCTCTTCCAGGGCAGCAGCAATGTGTTCTGAGTGCTTGTTACACGCTTTGCAGCACTTAAGGGTGGTCTAAGCCCACAGAGACATCACAGCTCCTGTCCCGAGTCCCCAGTGACACTGCCTTCATCTCCCAGCTCTCCAAACTTGGATTTTCAAACAGCAGGTGCTGGAAAACACCCCAGGTTACTATTAAAAAGGCCGGTAAATGACTTGTTTGTCCAGATTTGCATCAGCCAGGCCTCACATGCGCCATGGGAGCTGCTCTGCCGCAGTACACGCGTCCCCACCCCCCAGCCCAGCGGTGTGTGACCCACCACGGGCTGGGGTTGTCACCCAGCACGTCCCCAGCCTGGCACACAGAAGGGAAGCAGAGATATTAAGTGGCTGATTTACATAGTAATCTGCAAGGGGAGAGATGTTCGGGGCACGCTCAGCCTTCATCATAACACTTGTCATATTTGTGCTTCAATTTGAAGGGGGAGGAGAAGGGAAATGAGCCCTTGGTTTTTGGTTTGTGTTTGTTTTTTTTTTTTGCACGTGCTATTTGGTGTGAAAGCTTGGACCTGCCACAGCAAATCAGAGCCAGCATCCCACCCACACAGACCCCACTTGGTCCCAGCAACCCCACTGCTGCCCGCGGCATTCAGGGCCTGGGGTGTGCAGGCAGGAAGGGGGACTCTGTGACTGAGCAGAAAATCACCAACATTAAAGTTTTTAATAAAACATCTGATGCCATGACAGAGTCGGGCAGTGTGCTGAGGTTGCACCCATGGGTGCCCCCCACTCACCTCACCGCTGGATTTAGCAATGCAATTCCACTTCTTTTTTCTATCATAGGAAAACAATCACATTTATGAACAGCTCTATCACTACCATATGTTATGCTCTGTTTCCATATATGAAACAAGCTGCTTTCAAGCTTTTTATTTACACAAAATTGAGCAAAGTCTTAGTAGAAAAATTAGATAAAGGGAAGGAAGAAAAATATTTTCTCCCTGTCATACAAGCAATTACAAGAGTTTCCTTCTCCTCACAAGGACTGCAGAGATGAGCTAAATTTGGGGTCAGTTCTGTGGTTGCCTTAAGAGAAAGCCTGAATTGGTTTTACACAGCCAAGCTCAGGGCTGCTTTGGCTGCACCTGTGCCCCTGGACAATTGTTTTCCGTGGATCCATCATTTACAGCTCCGGCCCATAAACTGACAAGTCCCCACACTCCATCCCATGGCCCAGCTTCTCGTGATTGCTGCATTCAGCACCCAAGCAAACACAGACCAGCTATTCCAAACCTGTCAGCTCTCATTAGCACAGGCAACAGCACGAGCAAACCAGGATAAACCAGCAATTCCATCGGTGTGCGTTGTGTGTGTGCAGAACATCCCATCCTGGCCTCGTGTGCTGGGAGATGAGCAGTGACAGCCAGAGTTTGGGGGTGGGAAGGGAGACCCCAGCCCAGCTCCTGAGGGCTGGAATGGCAGCAGGCAAAGGGCACAACCCAGGATTTCTGCAGAGCACCCCAGCCTGGGGTGGCTGTGGAAGCTCACCCAATTTAAATATCATAGACTCAAAAATGGTTTGGGTTGGAGGGGACATTAAATATCATCTGGTTCCAACTTCCCTGCCAGGGGCAGGGACACCTTTCTCTAGACCAGGTTTCTCAGAGCTCCATCCAGCCTGGCCTTGAATACTTCCAGTATTAATGTCCCTAAACAGGTGTGTGTCACTGCCCGTGGTGTGGGGTCACACACAGGGTGTTGACCCCCCAGCCTGGAGCACCCAGGCATGTCCAACGCACACTGGCAACAGGCAGCATGCCCCAGACACACCACAGGACTCCCTTCCCAAAACACCCTTGGCACCTGGACCCCAGTAAAACACCAAACCCCAAAAGGGAGCTGCACCCCATCACTGCCAGCACCGACTGCCTGGGCCCCTCAGCCCAGCCCGGCGCCGAGCGAGCAGCCGGGGTGATTAATATTGAACATCAACAAACAAAACAATTGAAAAGTCAACAGTTTAGGGGAAGAGGGGCTGCGGCAGCCCCGCGGTCCTCAGGATTATTTTAAATGTGCAAAATGCCATCTCTCTAAATAATCAAACTCCACTGCTGCGACTCGGAAATTGCCACCCACGGCTAAAGCTCCAATTTTAAACGCATCCTCAAGTCAATCTTTGTAAATTCCACATTAAATATTGATCAGCCCCAGAGAGGGCTGACGCTGCGTGTTTAGCATAGATGTGCCAAATTCAAACAGCAGCAGCTGAGACAGAAAGTTTGCCTGGACCCACCCCAGGCCACAGAGACCCTCACAGCAATCACCCCACACCAGGGAGTGCCATCCCCACGGGGAAGGATGACCATGATGCCATGTCTTGGTGCTGCCCCATCCCACCAGGGACCACAGACACAATCCCTGTGCTGAGGAACCTCCCTGGATGACCAGCACATAAAAACACACAGAGAGAGGGGAGGAAGCATCCCCAGCAATGGCACTGATGGACACTGCTGAAAGAACCATAAGCAATACTTAAATATGTACAGGGGAGGGGGAAGGAGGCAAGAGTTGTTGCTTCCCTTCTAGATACACCAGCTCCAAACGTATTCCACCCCCTCCATGGGATCAATGAGCACATGGCCCAGAAATTCATGTTACAGCATCGGGGCAGTTGTTCCGGTTCCCAAATTCACACCATCACAGAGGGGCTCCAAGGGGGAGTTCTGAGCTGGCAACATTCCCACTGATCCCATCAAGAGGGAGTTTAACAAAACCACAATTTTTGGAAAACGATCCCTTTTATTTCCAGATCCCCAAACATCGCACATGTGTGTATATACGCCTGGAGTATTATGAAAATCATACTTGAAACCCAGATTTCAACTCCATTTCCCAACCACTCACATAAAATTTTCATTACAGATTGCTGCCCTACAGTGGAACAGGGGGCAACTTTATTAGACGCCGCCACAGAGCCGCCTGGCAGCAGGAGAATGAGCCAGTCGACAGCTCCAGATATTCCTCTGCGAGATACAGCAGAGAGCTGGAAATGGAACAGATTATATAAAAAGAAGTAATTCAGAGCAATTTCTAGTAAAGAGTCAAAGGAACCATATAATTCAACATTTATATAGACAAGGCTTCAAGGGAACTTGACGAAAAAAAGAAGGACTGGAGGTAACGGTGAGAAACTCTGGTTTGACTTTTTCCCTCTTTTTTTAATTTCTTGTTTAACCTGCCCTGATGGTTTGTGCCACCCTTGGCTTCAGCAGCACATGCAGGGACAATCCCAGCTGCCAACGCGTGTTTGACTGCTGTTGCCTTCCCTCTCCTTCCTCGCCACACTCCCTACCTGACCCAAGGGCAGGTCCTGCTTTTCCCAACAGATCCACCAGCCAAGCAGGGATGTCTTTGTGCACAAGCCGGAGACGGGGTATGATCTTCCCCAAAATGTGCCCACATGCAGTTTTTCCTCCTCCTCTCCTTCCCTCCCTCATTTGCCGTGCTATAAAAAGCACAGAGGAGAAGACAATCCTTTCTGCCGTGATTAATTGGGGCCGGAGCGGTGCCGGGATCCTTCCCAAGGTGCTGCAGCTGCACGAGGCGCCGCAGCCCCGTGACTTTCCCCCGCCGTCGTTTGTCATCGCCTGACACTGATAAAGAGCTTCTCCAGCGCTGTGTCTTTGCGAGGGAACATATCCATATCAAAGCTGCTTGGATCATCCTTTTGCAAACTATCTGCTGCGTTTTCTGGCCTAGTTTCCTTTCTGATCTCCAGCTCCTGTTCCTTCCCTGGGTGAGCCCCTGCAGTGGCACTCACCACCCCAACCTGCCCCAGCACCCGGGGATGGAGGCTCCTGGGAAACAAGGGGTCACTCAGTCTCCACACTGCTCACATGGCATCTCTGCTCACCCAGACCGACGTGGTGCATCAGCCACAAACACACTCCTGCAGCCACGGATGCCCATGGTGGGATGCAGGCTACTCAGGGCTTGGCTGGCAGCTCCACACATCACCCTTACAGCAATCTGGGTTTCACAGGTCCAGGGGCCTCCATCCAGCTCACCTGGCTGACACGGGATGCTGAAAGCTCCTGTGATGAGTCAGGAGCCAGCAGGGATTTCTGGCCAGGCAGCAAGGTTACACCACAGGATCCACTGGAGCAGTTACAGATGCTCTCTGGATAATATTAATATTCCATAATTATTATTCATCTGCTCAGGCTGCTGAGCGGTCCCTTCCCACTTAACCTTGGGGTGATGGATGCTCTGCTCCAGTGCCCACAGTCCCAGCTGGGTGTCCAGAGACTGGGGCTCCATTCCCAGGCAGGCACGTCCTTCAACTTCTTTTGGGCCTTAACACCTCAACCTTTTAAATAGCGTGAAAACATTTCCACATGTGATGAAACTCATTCTCAGGCAGCATTTGAGATGGGAGAGAGCTCCTGGGAGATGGTGATGGAGGTGCTGCAAGCAGGTACATGGAGCCACAGCTTCCTGGGGCAGGTGAAAACAGCACCTAATTCTCAATATTCCATCAGGTCATGCTGTTTGCTTAGCAGAAAAGCAAACACTCACCTCCCCCGAGGAGCATCACAGCTACAGAGGCAAGTTTGTGTGGCCCTGACATGAGCAATGTACTTAGAGCCATTAGGAACATCATCTCCAGGCTTTCAAACAGAGCCAATTTCAGCTGGAAATCCGGGAAGTGAACAGCAAGGAATTGCAGATATTTATTTTTTTTTGTGGAGAGGTGCTTTTCTCTTTAGGATGGCACCTCAACAAGAGTTTAATGAACAGCACCTTCTTGGTTCTGAGAGGCGTGGACAGGCCAGATAAAGCTACTGATTCATTAGCATCCCATCATGTCTGCAGGCTCTGTATTCCCCAGCTGTATGGGCAGCACGACGCGCTTCCAAAAACAGGGACATCCACAGAGGCTTTATTACCATCAGCCATCACGTTAGAGTAGCCTGTGGTTACGTGGAGATGGGGAACATCTTGTTTCGGGATCTGCTGGGTGTGAGGGAACACAGCGTGGACAGGGAGACAAGGTGACTTTGTAGGACGTGAGCATCCCTCCTGCTGCAGACAGGATTTTAATCAGCTCTTGGTCCTGAGCAAAGCACAGTCTCCAGAGTGGATACACATCTCCAGGAGAGAGATGCTGCCTGCCCAGGTGGGAGAGACAGCATCTGCTTTTATCTCTCCCCATATTTGGAGATAAATTCCCATATAACAGATTAAACCTCCCAGCGAGCTGAGCTGTGTGTCCAGCAATCAGCCACAGCCAAGCTGAAACCTCAGCCAGCCATGGAAAACAGAGTGGTTCCCCCCATCCCCACCACACACAGGTCCAGCAACCAGAAGCAGCATCTGGGGATGGCCTTAGGGGGCCATAAATAGACATTAAGTGACCATAAACAGACATTACAAGACCATATGCAGCCTCTGAGAGCAGCAATCTGTACAGGAGGCTCCTCACTCTCACCAAGGCACAGGGGAAGAAGCACCCAAAACCAGCACAGGTAACAGCAGCACCCTGAGATGTCAACAGATCACGGGGGATTTTATGGGTGTTCTTGGAGGAGCAAGGGAATTTGCTTTTGTGTGCAGGGACCAGCCCAAAGGGGTGGCCACGCAGCCTCCACCTCCCCTTGGACACGTGTCCTTGGAGACACCAGGTGGCATCTCCCACCCCTCCTGAGACCAATTCCTCCTCTCTCAGCACCATCAAAACCTGCCTCCAGGTTCCCAGCACCCCACGTGTGTTTTCTAACAAGCAAATAACTCCTTCCTTACTCCAAACTCCGCCTGCAATTCCCTGGGGCCCAGCGGGAGGGTCCGCGCTCCTCCCGCATCCACCAACCTGTGTCAGCAGTTTATTATGCAGCCCTGTAGGTTTTTTAGTTTAAAAAAAAAATAAAAAAAGAGGAGTTTTCAAAGCTTTAATGGCTTTGAAAACAACACAGAGAGTTCTCTTTACTGCAGGAGAGGTTAATGATCTCCCTCTGCTACAGAACCAAAGTGGACATCATAATAAATAATCATAATAAGATATAAAGTATCACCCAGAGTCATTCAATGCAGGGAGCGGGTAGGAGTTATGATGCATTTCCATTATTCAGAGGAACTGCCAGGTGGGAAATATTCAAAGCGAAAGTAGTCAATTAAAAAATGAAAAGCATTACTGAAACAGAGAGATTGCATCTTGTCTTGCCTGGGAAGACCTTGTGCTCTGGCTCCTGGTGGGACTGCAGCCCTGAGGAGGTCCCTTGTCCTCACCTCTCCCTCTCCCTGCAGCCTGAGCAGGAATGGCAGCAGTGTGCCACCCCATCACCTGCCACCAGAGCCCACGGAGGTCCTGCAGGACCTGCCTGCACGATGGTTCTGCATGGCCAGAGCTGAGCATCTCCTCAGCACAGCCTGGGCTGCTCCTTTCTCCAGCTGCTCTTGGACCTGCAACTGCCTTGGGTACATCTGCACACCCAGGTTTTATTCAGTCACATCCAAGAGGACATTTGCATTTGCTGTTGGCAGTTATGGAGCACACAGAACCACAGAAGGGGTGAGGTTGGGAGGGACCTTAGAGATCATCTTGTCCCAACCCCCTGCTGTGGGCAGAGACACCTTCCACCAGATCTTCCACCAAGCCCCATCCAGCATCTTACAGTGGGGATGTTTGGGATTATGAACCCTGTTTGGGTTCATAAAGATCAGGAACACATTTCTCACCTCCACAGCTGCTCTGCCCCATCCCCACACTAGACATGAACATGGTTTTACTCTTTGCAGAGCCTGGGGTGACACAATACCTGGGCACCCAGCAGGGCTTGAGCACAGCCAATAGAAACTCCATCAGAAACACCAGCTGCAGCCCTGGGGAGCGACACGAGCTCACAAACCTCAGCACGAGGCCGGGGTGACAACCCAGCTGCCACCCCCTGCCAGCTGCCCTGGGAGGCAGGAGTCAATCCATCCCGGCAGGAATCAATCCATCCCAGCGGCAGGAGGTGCGCCCAGCGAGGTGTCGGGGAGGGGAGGGGGTCAGAGTTCGTATCAAATGGCATTAATCACCTTTCCTGAGGCTCTGCACCCGCTGGACAGAACGATTAATCAGCGGCGTATCAGCCCTCCAGCCCGGTCAGGCCCCTTTGTGTGGGTCCCTTCCCATCACAGCCAGATAAGATTATCAGTGACGAGCAAGACACCCATTGAGCAACACCTGACGGGGAGAATGGGATCTTTTTTCTTTTTTTTTATTTATCCCCCTGTCTCAAAGATGAGCTGTTTCTTGTCTTGTCAAACCACATCCTTTTCTTGAAAGAACCAGCTTTAAGAATCCAATTTGTCAAGCTGGACAATCATTTGAGAACCCATAAAAAGCCTCAGTGACTTTATCAAAAAAAATAAATCAGAAGGTTTTAAATGGTAACTGAAAGGGATTTGAAAATAGGTTGAGTGGCCTACATCAATTAATCTTCAGAGAGCTGGGGCTTTGTGAAGCTGGAGTGGCAGAGAAGTGTCAAAAGCTAGTTACTGGGCTTGAGGAGATGGAAGTTATCGATATTTCTCCTCTCCTTTTTCTCTCTTTTCCTCTTTCTCTGTCTCTTCAGAACATGTTGAGGCGATACCCTCTGCCACAGGGTACTGCAAAGCCAAGAAGGGCTGGAAGGTCAAGCCCAGAAGGGGTAGGTGGTCAAGGCCACTCTTCCCTGGTGAGGTTTTTCTGTGGTCACTCCCAGTGCCAGCTAACAAGAGCCAGACCATGGCTTTGGATCTCTCTGCTGGCGAGTGCCAGAGCCCCAGAGCAGCCACAGGGACAACACTGAGAAGGAGCCATCAGACACTGCTGACATTTAAGGGCAGCCGAGGAGTCCTGAGGCACATCATGACACCTGAGGATCCCACGGGCTCTGTCACCCAGGAGGGAGGAGAGAAGGGGAGAAAGTGATAAACGGTTTCAGTTCAACCCCGGGGCCTGAGCAAAGCTCTGCAAACCGACAGGAGACCTCGGGGCTGGCAAAGTGAAATGAAGAAGCTGGAGAATGAGGTATTTGGCTGAAGAGAGCCAGTCCCCTGGAACAGCAGCACATCTCCTCGCCCTCCTAACGAGAGCCGACAGCCCCATTGCTCCTCGCTGCGCCGCTGCTCCGAGAGACACGGGGACGAGGGACAGGGGGTCGAGGTGCTGAGCCCCGAGGAACAGCCAAGGGGACACAGGGGTGGAAACAACGGACTGAGGAATTTAATGTATTTTAAAAAATAAAAAAAGAAAGACCTTGGGAGGAATCAAAATGCTGCAGAGAGAAGGGCCACGCTCCAGTACTGAGAGCAGGATGTGAGGGGCTCCAGATGGCTCTGTGGTTTAGTGCAATAAAAAATTTAATCTGACAGGCAAGTGTGGGGCTGGAGAATAATAATAAGACAAATAATTTCCTTAAAAAAACCTGAAAGGAGTGTAACAGCTCAAAGATATCTTCATTTGCTGCAAAGAACAGGGACTATTGGTTATTTACTGCAGTTGGGAGCATGTTCACAAGCTTTCAAGCGGTATTTTGTTGCAGAAGTATAATATAAGGACACTTTCCTCGCTTTCCAGTCTGGGGAAATAGATCTGACTTGGAAATTGGCCAGAAGGGCTGCAAGTTCGGGCTCTGAAGCGAAGGTGATAACTTTGCCAATTAAATATGGATGCGATTTTTCCCCGCTCTCCTTCCCTGGAATACTTTTGCACTGTCATTAGGTGATGATATAAAGACACAGGCCTCCTGGTGCAGCTTAATTGCTCCTATACAGAAAAATGATGAGCTCGGTTGCGCTGCACGGGCGCTGCTGTGGCTACTTGCTGCCTTATTAATAGGTGACACCAACGTGTGTTTAATTCCTCTGCCCAAGGAAAAACAGAGAGATGGCAAAGCCCTGCTCAGCAAATACTTCAGTGCTTGCTAAACTGCTTCACTGAACAGCGAGGGGCTGAAGAGTGAGTTTATATTTAATCACACACTTAAAGTGTTTTGCTGAGTTGATGTTCAGTGCACGGGAGGCAGGATGGACTCCCCGTTAAGTGATCTTTTATTCCCATATCCTTATATTTTTCTCTTTTATTGATACACAGCACAGACCATCCTGTGTTTTGCAATCTGCTGCTGGATGATTTCTAGTCCAGGGTGAAGCCTGGGCAAGCGAAGGACAAAAAGAACCTGCACCCTCCTCACAGGGAAGAATTCCTTCCTATTATTATTATTCAGTCTTTGGGAAAGCAGCATTACTGCATGTTTTCAGTCTTTACTTCCTCAGCAGCCAGTAGACCCCTCCTTAAAAGTCCGTATTTGTTTCTGCTTTGTAACAATCTCTCTAGGAAAAAGTTTTTAAGGGATTGGCCCTCTCCCAAAAGAAAGTGTGGGAGCCACCCTCCAATCTGCACCAAAAGCAGGTGGGCACGGGCTGCAGGGGCAGGGAATTTGCGTTTACTGAGGCTCTGAAGATTGAGTTTCACTCCCGAAGAAGCCGGGGTTGGCACGGGGGGAGCAGAGCAGGGAGGAGAGGCTGCCGCTAAATTGATGGCAACAGAAAAAGCTGGAGGTACAAATGGCTTGAGAAAAGGCGTGATGAGATGTGACTGCCCTGGGTCCTGGGACTGGAGAGAGCAAAATAGGAAAAGACCACCCGGACGAAGAGAAAGTGCTTCTGATTGCTCGGGGAAAAACGGAGTTAAAGATCATTGGAACGGACAAGGCAATCTGGCGGCGGCGCGGGCTGTGATTGCTGCCGGGGCGGGCAGGGGCTGCACCCCCGGGGATGCGGGGGGGATGGAGCCGGCACTGGCACAGGGCATCATCTGCACGGGCGTGACGTGTGGGCACAGGGGTCCGGCCACACCGGCATTTCGGGGGGTCTGAGCCCCGGCAGCCCCAGCTCTGCCAACTCCCCTCGACAAACCAGAGAGCTCAGCCCCGAGTTCAGCACGGTGGGAGAGCCGGGGACACCCTTCCCAGCCCCCGGGAAGCAGGAGTGAACCAAACCATGGTGGGGAAGTATCATTTAGGGGTCACAAATCCTGGGGTGCCACAGACCCCCCACATCTCCTCCATCCCAAGTGATGCTCTGAGCATCCCAAGAGTACGTGTGCTCTGGGCTGTGCATTCACACAGCCAAAGATTTTCTAAAGGTTATGCAAAGGTTACCACCCAATTAATGTGCTGGAGCAGCACTAGCTCTGTTTGCCTAATTTCCAGATCTGAAGGCCACGGGGCAGCTCAGCAGCTCAAAGGCTCCAGCTCCCCCCACACATCTGTGCTGGCCCCTCAGCCCTGAGCTGCATTCCAGCAAACAGGTGATGGCAGCGATGAAGATAACAACACTAATGTATCCATTTCCTCTACCCTGGGCATTTTTAAATCATCTCATCTCAGAAATGAGCCAATTTCAACCTTGTGCCTGACAACCTGTTGGACCCTCTGAGCGCCGGGCAGATGGTGGGGTTGTATTCACACATCACCTCTTGTGGCATTGCACGGGCTGGGAACCCAATCACTGCTCTGTTTGAAGGTCACAGAATTATAGAACAGTTTGGGTTGGAAGGGACCTTAAAGCTCACCTAGTTCCAACCCTCTGCCATGGAAGGAAGGGCATGGATTGACCCAGCTTTCTCTACCTAATCTGCCTTCCACCCTCCAAACTCCTGTGACACAAGAGGAGAGGCAGAGCCCCAGGAAGATGGAGATTGACTTTGCTCTGGGTACTGATCAAACCAGCAGCAGGTTCTGGAGGCTCAGCCTCCAGCTGTAGGATAACACTGTGTACAGAATACACAGAGATGAACTGTTCCAAAATAGGCATAAAATATAGTTTTTTTCAAATGTCCCTACTCATTAACTATGTCTCAGGTTAGTAACCACAAGCAAATTAGGAGTATTTCCTTCCCAGCATCACGAGCCTGAGGTAGCTGTTCCCTTTAACCCAGGGCTTCCATCAGCCTTTATAGACAATTTCCCTGTCAGGCTTTCCATGTATGATCACAGCTTCCCAGCTCCCAGCATTCCAATCCACCCAATCTATCCTTATTGCAACTCCAAGCGCTTCACTAATTCCTTAACTCACACTGCAATCTCACATTCCTGAATATGGGGTTGAACAGCAGCAGCGCTCCTGCCGCTGCTTCCAAATGAAATGAGCCAGGAGGAAAAACATTCCAAAAGGTTTTCAGTTGGGCGTTCGTGGTTTGAAGGACATTTTAAAGGCAGGGAACACAACCTGGCTCCTGCTGATCTTCATGAGGATTTAATTGTGAGAAATAGCAGACGGAGTTGGAGTGGAGCAAGGAAAGGGGGTGAAGTCTGATATGACATTAAGCAGATGTGACTTACCTTCCTGATCCCCCCAGAGTCCCACGGAGCAGGGCTGGTCATCTTGGCTATATTTTTGGTGTCCTGTGTTGAGAAAATAAAGAGCCATCAGTAGCAGAAGATGGGGACTGGGTAACCCTCTTATACCAAGGATTGCAAAATGAAACACATCTTTTAAAAGCTGCTGTTTTGGAGGGCCCCTCCGTAAAGGCACAAGGGAAGTACCTTGAGAACAGACTGTGGCACTCAGGACATTCCCAAAATAAGGGACAAAACAGCCACTGGACCAATGCTGGGAAGGAGACCACAGGCACATAAAGGAAAACTGGATCTTAGTCCAGGCTCCAAACTTTTCCTCCCTCCCAGGGGTGACACAGGAGGGTCTGGGTTTCCTTCCAGGCTGTGGAAGCCTCATGAGCAGAGTGAGACTGTGAGGCAGCAAAAAAAGGAAGGAGAAGCTGAATAAAAGAGTTTGCAACACCTGATGTTTGGTCCAGCCCAGCAGAAAACCCAGACTGGTCCCTGTTATTGCTCATTTCACCCAGGGGTGCCATGGAGGCACCTCTTTCTTAGATATTTCTGGATATTACGGTAGGTTTGGTTTCCTTCCAACACCACAAAACTGGTGGTTGCTGGGAGTCTGCCCTTGCCTGCACCCTGAGCCCCCCAGGCTCCCCCCTGTGCCCACCCCAAGCCCCCCCCCGGCCCCCCGTGCCCCACAGAGCCAGGAAGGAAAACAAACAGCAGCAGAAAGCTGAAAACTTTCAGTCTCTCTCTCCTGTTAATTATGATCTTATTTTGCACAGAGAACCTGTCATTCAGCTGCTGGTAATGGATAGTTTCTATTTCAATCCTCCCTCCACCCTATTATCTTTTATAAAATTCCGCCGGGCCGGGTGATGGATTGATAAGGGCCGGTCCCGGCGGGAGCCGCTCGCTCGGAATGGCTCTCACGCGCCCAACTTCTGTATCTTTTTAAATATTTCAGTTGTTTGAGATCTTTATTTCACATTTCGATTTCCTGTAGTACAGTAAATTTATCTTAGTCACCCAGTCAAGTTCTCTCCAAGTCTCTTATCTTCTCCTCTGTACGGCTGAAGGCCCCTACACTATCTGTGCTGCTGATAAAGCTGGCCCTGGCAATCCACAGATCCCGCTGATCCGGCGGCCCCAGCCCCACAGAGACCTTGGAGGGCCCGTGCTCAGCCCAGAGGAAACCTTGGAAGCCCCATGCTCCACACCAGCTGGAAGTTCAATGCCCAAACCCAGCACTGGCTCCTCTCAGGGCACCTCCTGCTCAACTGGAGAAGCGTCTGGGGCTCCCTGGGGACCCAAGGGGTATTGTGGGCAAGGGCAGCTGCTCCCTGCAAGGAAAAGCCCAGCTGGGGCCATGTGGGATGTCCCCAACGGAGGGGTTTGTGCCAGCCAGATGTCCCACTGCCATCCCAGGCCGGCAGGCAGAGCTCATCAACACAAGGGTGTGTTTTTCCCCCACTTAAACCACAAATTTTTAAATATCTCAACAGCAAGGAGCAGAGAGGACATCCCGCTGTGCCACGGAAAAACCCATCCCAACAGCATCCATCACACCCAGGGAGGAGACAGGAGCGATCGAATAAAAACAACAACGAACAGAAACGACAAACAGGTAAACCCAAGTCAGCTCCTCGCCGTTCCCTCGGCGGCACCGGCAGCGCCGAGTGCGATCAGGCAGCACCCCCTGGTGCCACCGCGGGCACCACGCGGAGCCGGGCCAGGCTGCCGTGGGGATGGAGAACCCGCAAACGGGGAAACAACTGCCCGGGAAACCGTGCGGGAATTCAGCCTCCCGTTTTCCCCCGCAGGGACACGTGCCTGGATGGATGCTCGGGAGAGGTGCAGAGGGATGGCTCTGTGAGGCAGCGCATCTCACCTGCCCGGCTCCAAGCTCCCAACACACTGGTTTGGGACCGTCCCCATCCCACCTGCTGGGACCCAGGAGCTCTAGGATCCAGGAAATCTAGGTGATTTCCCTCCTTGGGATGAAGTGGGTTATGGCTCCAGTGTGTTCCAGCTCCTGCCTCACTGGTTACAGCAAGACAAGAGGTTGGGGTCCTCCCTCTCCCCAGATCTTGGAGTGATTTCATCCCCCAGGATCCAACCCAGCAGCAGGGCACCCAATAAACACATCTGCAGAGGGGTGATTTATCTGCAGGGGAAGCCATGGAAATTCCCAAACCCTCTTAAATATCTGCCTCCTGGCTCTAAACCATCAGTAAGTTGCCAACTGGGGAATGTATTTGTCTGCTCCCCTCTGTATATTTTCTGCTTTTCATTATAATTTGCTAAATAATACATTACAATGAGTTATTTATCACACTCAGCAGTTTCGTGATGCCTCCTCCATCCCGAGGAATTTCACCCATAAATCAGACACACAAATATCTGCTGGCATTGCTGCACATTTAACCCTGCACCCAGCACCTTTCACCTGCCCCAGTGGCTCCCAGGCTCTGCCGAGAGCCATCACTGGATTAAATGGAATTTCTTTCCCCCAGGACTGCTATCTCCCTCCCACTGTTGCTCCTTTCCTCATGGACACCAGCCAAAGGGCAAAGGAGGAATGGAAACAATAAAAATCCCAAACCCAGCAGAAGAAAAAGGGGAGGAGGAAGATTTCTGGGAGCTCCGTTGGTGGGAGAAGCAAAAGTGGCACCAAGAGGTAAATGAGGGTAAAATTCATTAAATGCTCTGAGAATGTAAAAGGACCAAGGGAGGGAGGATGAATATTCCTGGCTCCTCCAGGAAATCACACACGAGGATTCAAAGGATGCAGCTCTCCCAAGTGAGGCCAGGAGAGCCCTGCACCCACAGCAACAGGAGACAGAGGGCAGGGATGGCACCTCCAGAGGGTTTCAGCACTCAGCTCCTGCAGAGGAACCCACAGCACGCAGGGAACTGGTAGTTTTCCAGAGCAAGTGGCTGGGGAATTCCAGCCTGAGTCACACAGGAGGAAAAAGAAATCGATTTATTCAAATTAGCTATATTCCCTCCCCCAGACTTTCTCCCTCCTCCTGGCAAAGCGATGGGCACCGCCCCCTGCACCAGTGTCCTCAGGACCCAGCACAGGGTGAGTGACACAGGCCTGTCACCCACAGCAAGGAGAGAGGAGAGCAGGGGGTCTCCTGATCCCCTCCAGGCTGACACCCAGCCCAGGGAAGAGGGGAAAGCTCCATCACTGGGGAAATGCTGGGAAGTGACAGGAGAGGCACGGGAGTGACACCCCCAGACCTTCTCCTGGTGACCACGAGTAAAGAGCTCGGCCAGCACCAGGTGTCAGTGCTGGGAAATGAGACACGGCCAGCACTTGGCTTCAGTCCCAGGGGGAACACCAGGAGGGAAAAGTTATGATTCCTCAGGTTGAACTTCCCTTTCCAAGACATTGTACCCCCCCCCTTCAAATGCTTTGAAAATATGCATTAATTGAACTTTACACCATCCATCTTAAATCAACAGTATCTTGGCATACAGATGGGGAAATCAAGGCATGGAAGGGATGAAAAAACAACCAGGAAAAAACCCCTCTCTCTGTGCTTTAACTACAAAATCATCTTTCCTCATTAGCAGCTAATCAGAACTACCAGAGGGGAAGAGATTACAGACAGGGTGGAGAGGGGAGTATCTCAAAGAAATACAGACATCAGAACAGATTTTCATTTATTTACTCATTTATCACAGCGAGTCACAGGCTTTGAGTTCATGAGTCTGCATTAGCCTTGCAGGATTTTGGGATGCAATCTGCAAAATCTCAGAAATGAACAGGTCACAGCTACGTGCCATCTCAGGAAGAAGAAAATCAGCAGTTTTGGGTTGGTCTTGGGAAGTCTGATATTGCTTTGCCTGCTGGATTATAAGAAACCACTAATCTTCCCTCGCCAGCCTCCTAATCTCTATGGGAGCCCAGATGCCTTATCAGGAACTTGCTCAGTGAAGAGCACCCCAGCTTGCCTGGCTGGGGGGTGGATTCCAGCAGCTGTGGGACACAGGGAATGGCAGGTGGGGGAGCTGAGGTGTGTTTCAGCACCCACCATGCAACAGGTGCCCCGTGCCGTGCCAGCCAGGACAGGAGACATGGCCAGAGCAGGAGCAGGTTGGTGATGGACAACATGAATGTCACACATCACGTGTTTGTTCCTTAACTGAGCAGCTCCAGAATGAGAGGGCACCACTGGGCTTCAGGTGCCAGGGCTGAACCCCTGCATGCCCTCAGCTCATCTGAACAACTTGGCCCACCTTTGTACCTTTAGACACCAAAATAAACCATCAGCAGTTCAAGGGCTTTTTTCTCCCCCTTCTTCCCCAAAATGATTTGCAAGAAGCCAAGTGTTATATTTACTGTGGGCAGAGAATCTCGTTTCAAACTTCCCCTTCTCTCCTGATTTCACCCCAGCTTTCCAGAAGTGAGGAGGTAGGCAGGGTCCACAGCTCTCACACCACCACCACCCCCAGGCAGTGCACTGTGCTGGCTCTGAGGTCTCCAGAGGGGACAAGCCCCCATAACTCCCACCAGCCCTGGGATGCCCCAGCGAGTCCCCACCTGCACAGAGCATTTCCTGAGGCATTTCCAGCCCTGCTCCTGAGCCCACGCTGCAAAATGAGGAACATATTTTTAAATGAGAGGAGGAAATGGTGTCTTTGTGTCAGGCAAGTGGAAGAAATCCAGGACCAAGAGACTGCAGAGCCTTTCCACTTCAGACAGCAGGTGCTCTCCAAGATGTGGTTATGGCAACAAAATAAATGATGGATAATTGCTTTTGTGACAACTTGCCAATTAAATTAGACTCAGCAGAATAACATAATGACAATTTGTTATGCTCTGGTGGGCACTAACACACCAATCATAATTAAATGCTATGACTGAAATAGAATGCTGCTGTACACAGGAATATATAACCCCAATTCCCTCCCAGTGAAACATTATAGGTTCAGACTTGATTTCAATTTCTGGAGGATAATAGCATTAGCACACATCAGAATGAGCTTGCAATATGCAGAGAGGCAGCAGCAGCACAGGGACAGACAGAGCCAAGGGCAGCTGAG